GGCCCAGCGCTGTAACATGGGGTGGGGAGAGGATGCGCGGTCCTGTGTTAGCACCAACTAGTGACTAGCTTACACAGGGCTATGGGCCGGGGAAGCAAAGTCAAGGTTAGTATGTGCTGCTGTGATGGATGGAATGAATGAAGCAGCCATGTTGTTTTTCCCCCGGCTTGGACAAAGTGCTTTTTCACTGTAGGGACTGAAGAAAAGGATGTTTTTGAAATCAGTGGACGGGGTTTCTAGGATTTGTTTTTACCTTGGATGGGTTTGGATTTGTTTCTGTTGCTTATTGGCATTTTCCTCCTTTTTTTTTCAGGTTGTCAAGAGAGAAGACATTCAGAAGTTCTTTGAAGACCTGCGCTCCAAGAAGCGGAGACGGGTGGACGGCATGCAGTACTATTGCAGTTAGCCTCAGCATTCCGAATCGGGGGCCGGGACCGTAGTCCCGTACTATGCTATAAACTCTCGGCATCGCCTCCACCTTACTGTGTCCATTTTTCTTTTTTGTATATAAATGTTTGTGGTACCCGGCAGGGTTCTCCCTCCGACCCGTGGCAGCTAAGGCTGCCCAATCCCCATAGTCACCCGGAAGTCTCGATGAGTCATTGAACTCCTCGCTGTCCATTCAGTATATGGAGTTATGAGATTTCCTGGGTCTCCTTTATCAGAATGAAGAAGAAACTTATATCCATGAATACTTTCCCATTGCCAACCTGTAACGTTCTCATCCCCCATCCCTGGAATTAGAAGGGTCTTGGTTCCCCATAGCACCCCCCGCTTTGTTCTCTCTTGGCAGGGGACATATGGGAAGATCTGCTTGCTGTGGGGAATCTATTACATTTGAGACTTCTGCTTTGCTATGAGCAGCTCACAGTCTCTTTGGTGACCGGGATTCAATGATGCGATTATTCCTGAGGGGCGGTAATTATGGGGTTTTGCAAGAATAACCGATGATACAAAAAGTGTTTTTATAATCCGCAGACTTCCAGCGCTCAACGTCCCTTTTTTTTTTTTTTTTAAATCCAAGAACCGCTTGGAAAGTCAGTGTGAAGCCGGCCATACACCTCTAGATTATCTGCAGACTTTCTGTGATCAGATGGAGAAAGAGCAACAGATTCCTCCATCTACGCTACGCTGTGTGGATGGAGGAATCTCCCGCTGGCCCAAGCTTGAGCATCTTGCTATTCGGCCCCGCTGGCTCTCAAAATACCTGAACGATGCCGGCATCCAATCAGATTTGTTCAGGTATTTTGAGAGCCAGCGGGGCCGACAAGCAAGATACTAAAGCTTAGACCAGCAGGAGATTCCTCCATGCACACAGCTTAGTGTAGAGCAGTGGTTCTCAACCTGCGTAACCTCAGGAGCCACATTTGTCCTCAGTCATTAAGTCGTGACCCAAGGCGCACTGCAATGGAACATATGGCAGCGTGGGCTGCTGTGCTGGAGCTCCATCCATATGTGCATTGCCTGTGCAGCTCACGTGTGCGCCTGTAGAGGTGCCGGGAGCCAGAATGTGATGTCACTCCGGTCCAGGCTCCTCTACAGGACATGCGAGGGAGCTGTAAGTAATGAACGTATGGAGGGAGCTCCATCGCGGCCATACCCCCAGCCCACCTCACCTCAAGCTGACACTCGGCGCTGGGCAGCATATCTTGGTGTAAGAATGGACAGTGCTGCACTTCTGGGGGGCCATGGGGAGGCTTCTCACCTAGAAAAGTGGAAGGCATGCGGCGACCCAGTGAACAGGGGGTCACGACCCACCAGTTGAGAACCAAGGGTGTAGATGAAGGAATCTGTTGCTCTATCTGACCATAGAAAGTCTGCAGCCAGTCTATAGGCGTATGGCCAGCTTAAGGTATAATGAAGGAACTCCTGAGGGGAGGAGCCGGCCTGCAGCTCTGTGCTGTTTTAAAGGACATCCCCAGCATCCCTATAGCTGTGCTTCCTCCTGGTCCGTCCCTGCAGGAGACGGGAGCTGTCAGCAGACACAGCTAAGGGGATGCTCAATGTACTTCTGTTGCTCAAAAGGAGCAGATCATTATTAATTATGGGGGGGATGGGGGGGGGGGGGTGTGC